TGTGTGTGCGTGTTCTGTGTGTGTGTGTTCTGTGTGCGTGTGTTCTGTGTGTGTGTTCTGTGTGCGCGTATTGTGTGCGTGTGTTCTGTGTGTGCGTGTTCTGTGTGTGTGTGTTCTGTGTGTGTGTGTTCTGTGTGCGTTTGTTCTGTGTGTGTGTTCTGTGTGCGCGTATTCTGTGTGCGTGTGTTCTGTGTGTGTGTTCTGTGTGCGCGTATTCTGTGTGCGTGTGTTCTGTGTGTGCGTGTTCTGTGTGTGTGTGTTCTGTGTGTGTGTGTTCTGTGTGCGTGTGTTCTGTGTGTGTGTTCTGTGTGCGCGTATTCTGTGTGCGTGTGTTCTGTGTGTGCGTGTTCTGTGTGTGCGTGTTCTGTGTGTGTGTGTTCTGTGTGCGTTTGTTCTGTGTGCGTGTGTTCTGTGTGTGTGTGTTCTGTGTGCGTGTGTTCTGTGTGTGTGTGTGTGCGTGTGTTCTGTATGTGCGTGTGTTCTGTGTGTGCGTGTGTTCTGTGTGTGCGTGTTCTGTGTGTGTGTGTTCTATGTGTGTGTGTTCTGTGTGCGTGTGTTCTGTGTGTGCGTGTTCTGTGTGTGTGTGTTCTGTGTGTGCGTGTTCTGTGTGTGTGTGTTCTGTGTGCGTGTGTTCTGTGTGTGCGTGTGTTCTGTGTGTGCGTGTTCTGTGTGTGTGTGTTCTGTGTGTGCGTGTTCTGTGTGTGTGTGTTCTATGTGTGTGTGTTCTGTGTGCGTGTGTTCTATGTGTGCGTGTTCTGTGTGTGTGTGTTCTGTGTGTGCGTGTTCTGTGTGTGTGTGTTCTGTGTGTGCGTGTTCTGTGTGTGTGTGTTCTATGTGTGTGTGTTCTGTGTGCGTGTGTTCTGTGGGGGCCGTTGGCCCCCGGGGTCCCTTCCGCCTGCATCCCCTATTCCGTTTACGTTGCCCCACCTCCCTATTACCCGCTACGGTTTCGCCGGCATTCGAACGCGACGCCCCTACTGTTACAGCCTCGCGCCGCGCTCCCACGCTGCGAGCATACGTGCGCACATCATCGTCAATCAAACGCCGTGCTCGCAGTATAGCCCTGTGCGGCACGTTACCAATGCGCATCCGTATCCGACACGTAACGAACGTATGCACGCACACACACACCGCGCCGTGCACTCCAACTCCACACTGACTACTCGCGTTATGATCGTACACCTGTGTCACACACGGAGTGAACACACGCGACACCCACTCTCGCACCGCTCTGCGCAGCGCTCCCCCGAGGCGAGCCGCAGCACTACAGAACCACTGCGTACACACGCTCACCCACGCGCTCAGCTCTGCGCAGCGCTCACTCACGTGGCGAACCACTGTGTGCACCCGCGCACCCACACGCTCACGCTGCACGACAAGATCACGCGAGATCACGCGAGACCACGCTTCGCTATTAATGATTTATTATCCGCTACCTGGAACTAGATGTTAAATCAGTGAGTCGACGAGGCTGGCCTATTCCACTAAACCGGCACCTATTCCCTATTTATCGGCTATGATTCTAATTCACCTTCTTACTCACTGTTAAGTGTCCACGGCGGTCCGCTGATCCTTGTGTTAACCGCGTGCCTCGGTGCGTCGCACGGACGTCCGGGTCGCTGGCTCGAGCTGCGTCTGGTCGCCTGGCGCTGGAGTAAGAGAGCGATTTCCCCTTTGCCCTCCCCATTTATCCTGATTCCCAGACCCCTACCCCCTTCCCACGCATCGTGCGCCTTCGCTATGCTAATTAATCCTTTGTCCGCGCGGCGTGAACTCCAAACAATGGCACGCGCCCCCCTCGCCCGGGCCAGGCAGCTCCGCGGTGCCTTTGTTCCGCTAATCAATGAGCGACCTGCACGGCGCAAATTCCAATCAATCCTTTTCTCACGCAGGCCCCCATCATCGAGGTTCATGCGGCGGTGTCCATCACAAAGGCGCGCCGTGGGAATTTGTGCACGGCTGCCCGCGTGACCCCGCTCTCCAGGTTATTCATACTAATAGCCTTCTCCTTTAACTCCCCTAATAATGGTGCCTGCGTGTTTTCTAATGAAGCTCCTCCATCACAATGCTTATTCCCTCTGCCTGCCCCGTCGATACTCGCGTGTGTGGGGGGAAATGCGCCTCAACCGCGGTGGCCGAATGCCCCACGCCGCGACCACACCATATTACGGCCGGCCGCAGCGCCGCGGTGCCACGTAGCACGGGGGAGGTCATCCAATTCCCTGATCGCCGGAAACCGTGAGAATTAATCCCGATAAGGGTCTCTCGGATAAAAACCGGTCGATCAGGTAACCTTCCCTTCCAGCTCTATGGGGGGGGGGGGGGGGGGGGAATGCGTGCGGGTGTGTGCTTATGTGGGGGGGTTGATGGGGGGCAGTGCGGTGGGGGAAGCCGGGCGGCTCCCTGGCTCGGCAGAGCGGCCCCGTCGCTGTGGCACCACAGTTCTGTGTGCGTGTGTTCTGTGTGTGCGTGTTCTGTGTGTGTGTGTGTTCTGTGTGTGCGTGTGTTCTGTGTGTGTGTGTTCTGTGTGTGCGTGTGTTCTGTGTGTTCTGTGTGAGTGTGTGTGCGTGTGTTCTGTGTGTGCGTGTGTTCTGTGTGTGTGTGTGCGTGTGTTCTGTGTGTGTGTGTTCTGTGTGTGTGCGTGTGTTTGTGTAGCGGTTAGCGCTGCGCTACGAACCCGGCAACCAGAGTTTGATTCCCGCTCGTGGCCAACACCAGTGGCGATTATCTGAACCGATCCTGTGCCTCTCCTAGGTCGACTCAGCCTTAAATGAGTACCTGGTATGGTGTGTAAACAGCACTGATGGGGAGACAAAGGCGGCCGGGCGTGGTGTTGGCCACCCACCCCTTCGTGTGCCATGCCGGCCTTCATAGGTGCTACTCGCTGAAAGAACTTGCCCCAACAGCCTGTTAAGGCTACACGGGGGACCTTTGTCTTTGGGGAGCGTGGTCCCCGCGGTCCACCACTGCACGAGTTCCCCTCCACGGCGTTGCCACATCGCGAGCAGTCGCTGGGAGAGTGGCACGACACTTGGCATTGGGTACAACGGATATAAAATCACGAAATAATTTAATTGAATACTCATTGCGTGAATGGACCGGTGTATGAGAATTAGTTTATTTCTCATCAAATTTATGTTCTCTCTCTTGTGTGAGACAGTCGAGATCTTCCAGATCTTATCGGACCTCCGCAGCTTGGCCGTAAACCCCATGCTCCTTTTATTTGGGAGATAAGGCGATAGTTTATGTGCGTCTGTCCTCGAGTTCCAAACCTCGTAAACGTGATCTGGGCCCTCCACGGCCTGGCCATCATTCTCATGGAGCGCTTCGGAGTTGGCAGGGGGGGGTTGTTTTCGACACATTATGAGCCAACAACCTCCAGACGGCGAGATGTTAACTACCTCGTCTGGTGTACAGGAGGTCGTGGGTTCGATCCCGACCCTGACCGCCTGCTGCTGTATATTTGGAGTCTGCGTGTCTCTCTCTTTCATCATCATCACGGTGGCTAGGAGATGTTAAGTACCTCGCCTGGTATGCAGGAGGCTGTGGCTTGGATCCCGACCCTGACGCCTGCTGCTGTTTATTTGGAGTTTGCGTGTCTCTCTCCCAGTGGTCGCGTGGATTTTTCTCTGGGTCGTCAAGTTTTTCTCTCCACATTTATATGAACACGGTTAGAGTTTTTGGCTGCTATGAATTTCCACGTGATGAGCCACCTCGTTCAGCTATCATCTGTGGCCAGGTCGCTTCTGAAAAAGAGCCTGCATAGCTCTGTGGGCTTTACCTGGTGAAATAAAAAATAGTTTAGTTTTTTGTTTCCTACGGGGTTGGCATTTTTCCATTGCTCTCAAGTCAAGTTTGACTTCGACCAGTGGTGCCAAGTTTCCTTCACAAAATCATATTCTCGACATACTCAAACGCCCATTAACTGATCAATTATAATTATCCTCGTTGTCATTGTGTTTAGTATGTAAAGACAATGCAATTTAGACAATTAGGATGCAATCCATCTGAACATGAAATGTTTTATAAGGGTACGTCCATGACAATGGGAGCATGATAACGGCACCTGCCCCAGCAGCCTGTCCCGTGGCTTTATGAGGGATGTTTCGTGTTATTTTGTACGTGTGTGAAACAGAATGGTTGTGTGTATACGTGCGAGTATTGTTATTGAGCGTGTACAGTTTGGCACCAAAGGTCTCCGAATCAGTCGAGTGGCATTTTTACTACATCAGCTGCGTCAAGCTTCGTGTAAGCTGCCCTGCCTGTCCCTCCACACGAAGCTCCGGGTCTTCCCGGCCACATTTCATGCCCTCCCTTCTCTACGCTTGTGAAATGTGGACCCCCCTAATGGTACATCTCTGCCGGTTTGAAACATTTAGGATGGTCTGCCCATGATCCATCCTGGGTTTAATCTGGGCTGTATCGGGTGAGGAGCTCCGAGAGCCTTGAAAATATCCCCATAATCAGTGAGCTGCGTTGATGGGTAACGCGATGTGTGATGGGTCACGTGGTGTGACGTGGTGTGTGATGGGTCACGTGGTGTGACGTGGTGTGTGATGGGTCACGTGGTGTGACGCGGTGTGTGATGGGTGAGATGGTGCTAGATGGGTCACGTGGTGTGACGTGGTGTGTGATGGGTCACGTGGTGTGATGCGGTGTGTGATGGGTCACGTGGTGTGACGCGGTGTGTGATGGGTCACGGTGTGTGATGGGTCACGGTGTGTGATGGGTCACGTGGTGTGACGCGGTGTGTGATGGGTGAGATGGTGTTAGATGGGTCACGTGGTGTGACGCGGCGTGCGATGGGTCACGTGGTGTGACGCGGTGTGTGATGGGTGACGTGGTGTGATGTGGTGTGACGCGGTGTGTGATGGGTGAGATGGTGTTAGATGGGTCACGTGGTGTGACGCGGTGTGCGATGGGTCACGTGGTGTGACGTGGTGTGTGATGGGTCCCGTGGTGTGATGCGGTGTGACGCGGTGTGACGCGGTGTTCCGCAGGCGCAGCTGCCCCCGTGCGTGGATGAGCGCCTGGCTCAGTGCGCGTTCTTTGAGAAGCCGCTTCACGTCCCCAAGGAGCTCTGGATGATGGTCGACCACCTCTACCAGCACGGCTGCCAGCAGGTGGTCCACCTTGTGGTAGTGATGGTGGTGGTGATGATGGGGATGGTAGTGGTGGTGGTGGGGATGGTTGTGGTGGTGGTGTTGGTGGTGGTGATGGTGGTTACCATGACCTCCTGCCAGCAGCGAGCCTGAAAGTGCTCCTAGCCTGGCACAAGCGTCTTGGTGACATCGCCGCCACTTAGTGGCAAACGTCGCTGTTGTTGTTGGCATTGGTGGTGGTGTACGTAACATGGTGATGGTTGTGGTGGTGGTTGTGTCTGTAACATTGTGGTTGTGATGTTATTGGTTGTGGTCTATGTCACATGGTGATGGTTGTGGTAATGGTTGTGGTGGTGGTTGTGGTGGCAGGAGGACCTATTTCAGCAGCCAGGGCTGCATGCGGAGATGGAGGAGATCCGAGACGCCCTGGACACGGGGTTCCCGGAGAAACTTCGTATCCTCTCTACAGCTACACCCACACAGCTGCACCCGCACAGCTACACCCGCACAGCTACACCCACACAGCTACACCCACACAGCTACACCCACACAGCTGCACCCGCACAGCTACACCCACACAGCTACACCCACACAGCTACACCCACACAGCTACACCCACACAGCTACACCCACACAGCTACACCCACACAGCTACACCCACACAGCTACACCCACACAGCTACACCCACACCGCTACACAAAGACAAAGTTCCCCTGTATAGCCTGTAACAGACTGTAGGGGCAAGTGATGTTAGCAAGCATCTATGAAGGCCGGAACGGTACACGAGGGGGTGGGTGGCCAGCATCACGCCCGACCGCCTTTGTCTCCCCAGTGGCGATGTTTACACACCACACTGGGTACCCATTTGAGGCTGAGTCGACCTAGGGGATGCTCAAGACCGGTTCAGATAATCGTCACTGGTGTTGGCCGTGAGCGGGAATCGAACCCGGTTCGCCAGGTTCATAGCGCAGCGCGCTAACCGCTAAACTACCGCTCCCCTACACACACTGACACGCACACACCGACACGCACACACTGACACGCACACGCTGACACGCACACACTGACACACACTCGCACTCTTACACGCGGCTACGCAGGCACCGCGATCCACAGTAGAACGCCGCAGGCCCCGGAACTCCCCCACACCGCCCCGCCGGCGCCCCAACCCTGACCGCCCCAACCTTGACCACCCCAACTTTGACCGCCCCAACCTTGACCGCCCCAACCTTGACCGCCCCAACCTTGACCGCCCCAACCTTGACCGCCCCAACCTTGACCGCCCCAACCTTGACCGCCCCAACCTTGAGCGCCCCAACCTTGACCGCCCCAACCTTGACCGCCCCAACCTTGACCGCCCCAACCTTGAGCGCCCCAACCTTGAGCGCCCCAACCTTGAGCGCCCCAACCTTGACCACCCCAACCTTGACCACGCCAACCTTGACCACGCCAACCTTGACCGCCCCAACCTTGACCGCCCCAACCTTGACCACCCCAACCTTGACCACCCCAACCTTGACCGCCCCAACCTTGACCACCCCAACCTTGACCACCCCAACCTTGACCACCCCAACCTTGACGTCCCCGTCGCTCCCAGCCGGCAGCAACCACTCGGTGGCCGAGGCGCTGCTCATCTTCCTGGAGGCGCTGCCCGAGCCGGTGGTCTGCTACGAGCTCTACTCGCGCTGCCTCGACGCCTCCGCCAGCTACGCGCAGAGCAAGCAGGTTCGCTGGGCGCGAGGGGGGCCGGGTTGGGGGTGGAGCAGGGTGGGGGGGGGGGTCACCCCCCCCGCACCCCCCCCGCACCCCCCCCGCACCCCCCCCCGCACCCCCCCCCGCACCCCCCCCATGAGTTACCATCGCGAACGTTCATCACGGAGCGCTGTGGCCGCTGTGGTTCTCGTGGCACTTGCGGGGCAATCGCCACTCGGGAGGCCCCCGTTGTGATCGTTTGACAGTGGGGAGGCGACGATTGCCGCGGCGTGGTCATGGTGGGCTAGGCCTCTAGGGGCACCTCCAAGGGGACTCGGCGCCTGGCCTGCGAGCGGGCATTGATTGTTGCTGCTGTGTCCGTGTGTCTATGATTCCAGACCGAGTCATTTGCAGTGTCATTTTTCAAATGTGGAAAATTTTGATTCGTGAAGTTTGCACGCGATGGCCGACCATTTGTTTCAAATGCCGTCCCGGTGGGCGTTTCATGGAAGCCGTTGGGTCTCATGGAAGCCGTTGGGTCTCGGAGACTGTGGGTCTGGAACCCGGTGCGATCGCCGTGGCTGGGCGGCCGATGAACTTCGGATGGGAACCCCCGGGCTCATTGCAGAGTCTCTGACCTCAAGGCACCGTAAGGGGAGGAGGGAGGGGGGCCCTCTCCAATGTCCATGGATATGAAGCGTGGACGTGAGTGTGCCTCTCCAGACGCTGCGAGACGCTTCACTCAGGCCTACCGCAGGCTTCCCCACCAGCGTCCATGGTGGCCGCCGTGCCGCTCCCCGCTCGGGGACGGTCAAGTTTGCCCGACGGATTTGGCTCTGGCTCACTCGCGTGGCTCACCTGAACCTCCTGGCTCCTCAACCTAACTCGCCCCTGGCTCACTCACTCTGACTCACCTTGACTCACCTTGACTCACCTTGACCCACCTTGACTCACTCTGACTCACCTTGACTCACCTTGACCCACCTTGACCCACCCGTGCCCCTCTCTGGCAGGAGCTCTCGCGCCTGCCCGGGTGCCATGGCGGTGCGTTCCACTACCTGGCCGCGTTCCTTCGCGAGCTGCTCAAGCACTCGGACGCCAACCACACGGACGCTCGCATGCTGGGTGAGGGGTCGCTCACCACACGCTCACCACACGCTCACCACTCACCACACGCTCACCACACGCTCACCACACGCTCACCACACACCACACGCTCACCACACGCTCACCACACACTACTCGCCACACGCTCACCACACGCTCCACACACACCACTCACCACACGCTCACCACACACCACTCACCACACGCTCACCACACGCTCACCACACGCTCACCACACGCTCACCACACACCGTACGCTCACCACACGCTCACCACACACTACTCGCCACACGCTCACCACACGCTCCACACACACCACTCACCACACGCCCCACACACACCACTCACCACACGCTCACCACACACTACTCGCCACACGCTCACCACATGCTCCACACACACCGCTCACCACACGCTCACCACTTACCACACGCTCACCACACGCTCCACACACACCACTCACCACACGCTCACCACACGCTCCACACAAACCACTCGCCACACACTCCACACACACCACTCACCACACACACCACTCACCACACGCTCCACACAAACCACTCACCACACGCTCCACACACACCACTCACCACACGCTCACCACTCGCCACACGCTCACCACTCACCACACGCTCACCACACGCTCCACACACACCACTCACCACATGCACCACACACACTACTCACCACACGCTCCACACACACCACTCACCACACGCTCCACACACACCACTCACCACACGCTCACCACACACTACTCACCATACGCTCACCACACGCTCCACACACACCACTCACCACACGCTCACCACACACTACTCACCACACGCTCACCACTCACCACACGCTCACCACACGCTCCACACACACCACTCACCACACGCTCACCACACACTACTCACCACACGCTCACCACTCACCACTCGCCACACGCTCCACACGCTCACCACTCACCACACGCTCCACACGCTCCACTCATCACACGCTCGACTCACACCACTCACCACACGCTCACCACACGCTCACCACTCGCCACACGCTCCACACGCTCACCACTCACCACACGCTCACCACTCACCACACGCTCACCACTCACCACACGCTCACCACACGCTCACCACTCACCACACGCTCACCACTCACCACACGCTCACCACACGCTCACCACTCGCCACACGCTCCACACGCTCACCACACGCTCACCGTTCACCACACGCTCCACACACACTGCTCACCACACGCTCACCACTCACCACACGCTCACCACTCACCACTCGCTCAGACTCCCGGAGTGCCGGCGACGTTATGCCGCGCCTCGCGGAGGACCGATTGCTTTCCGCCCCTCTCACCCTCGCGGTCCCCCCTGTGCCCCCCACGGTGATTCCCCATTACCCCCCCCCCCCCCGCCCAGCCTCGGTGTTTGGTTCGGTGCTGCTCCGCCCGCCGCCCAACCGGCGCCGCCTCCCGGACGACCGCAGGAAGCACATCGCCTTCATGCAGCACTTCCTCTTGCACGACGACAGCAGCTGATTGGCCGCCGCCGCGGGTCACGTGACTCCGGCGGCCATGTTGCTGCCCCCCCCCACTTCGCACCGGTGTCCGACCTTGCGGGGCGGGGTTGGTGGTTGGTGGTTGGTGGTTGATGGTTGGTGGTGCGAGGTGCGAGGTCAGGGTTCAGGAAGAGGTTAAATTATAACGAGATTGGGTTTGTGAATGCTGGCGGTGGACGGGGGGGGGGGGAGGTGGGGGCTGGTAAGGGAGTGGGGGAGCAGTGGTTAGCATCAGTGCTCGAAGTCGTGGTAAATTTGTGTCCTCGAAATGACGTGTGTGGGTATCGCGTGACAATGATCTCTGCATTTACATGGCAAGTACGTCGGTGCTTCGGCAACTCCAAGCACCTTGCATCGCAGCTCCTTTGTCACTTTCAAAGCATCAGCTGTTCCCCGTGGGAGACAAATGTGACATCGGCACGCGGCGTGCTAAATTAGGCGTTAGTCTGCCGGTAGAGGTGGGGGGGCATGATTGCTGCTGTGTGCTCAATCTAAGAGGTGATTTTTTTGAATTTAGCAAATTGCAGGTCTCTCACTTGGCCACGTTTTACAACTGCACATCGCGCAGAGCGACGCTGGGTTTTTCGGCGGAGCTGCGTTGGGACGCTCTCCCACGCCACGCGCTCCCAGTTGTAGCCCCGGTCCGAGTCATTTCGCTGCATCGAGTCATCGGTGCTCATCACCCGTTTGCAGCCCTACAGAGCCATTGCTGTGGCAGCGGGGGCGAGTCTATCCACGGGACAGCCGCTGTTGATCTTTCACGAAAAAATCGGTTCTCATTTATATTGACCCCCAGAGAGATAGGCGCGATCAAGTCGACAACCTGGGTTTGAACTTGCAACGTTCCTCTTGCGAGCCACTTGCTCTACCGCTAAGCCAGATAAGTACAGTGACCAGTGTAGCAGTGGATTATCACGGTAGCTAGTGTAGCAGTGGATGGAGCATCCACAGCGGTGATGTTAAAATCAGTGTCAGTAACATTCATTTAACCTTCATGGGGGTAGCGGGGTTTTGGTAAATAACGAACAAAGCAGGGCAGCGCCACCCTCGAGTGAACCCGGTGTTTTGAGGACACACACTCGTACCAGCCACTGTTATAGGATAAAGGGAAAGGGCCGATGTGTGGGTTAGGGCCGGGAAGGGGAGCGAGATGAAAGGGGAGAGAGGTTGGAGATAGAGAGAGTGTGGAGGAGGAGGGGAGCGAGATGAAAGGGGAGAGAGGTTGGAGAGAGAGAGAGTGTGGAGGAGGAGGGGAGCGAGATGAAAGGGGAGAGAGGTTGGAGAGAGAGAGAGTGTGGAGGAGGAGGGGAGCGAGATGAAAGGGGAGAGAGGTTGGAGAGAGAGAGAGTGTGGAGGAGGAGGGGAGCGAGATGAAAGGGGAGAGAGGTTGGAGAGAGAGAGAGTGTGGAGGAGGAGGGGAGCGAGATGAAAGGGGAGAGAGGTTGGAGAGAGAGAGAGTGTGGAGGAGGAGGGGAGCGAGATGAAAGGGGAGAGAGGTTGGAGAGAGAGAGAGTGTGGAGGAGGAGGGGAGCGAGATGAAAGGGGAGAGAGGTTGGAGAGAGAGAGAGTGTGGAGGAGGAGGGGAGCGAGATGAAAGGGGAGAGAGGTTGGAGAGAGAGAGAGTGTGGAGGAGGAGGGGAGCGAGATGAAAGGGGAGAGAGGTTGGAGAGAGAGAGAGTGTGGAGGAGGAGGGGAGCGAGATGAAAGGGGAGAGAGGTTGGAGAGAGAGAGAGTGTGGAGGAGGAGGGGAGCGAGATGAAAGGGGAGAGAGGTTGGAGAGAGAGAGAGTGTGGAGGAGGAGGGGAGCGAGATGAAAGGGGAGAGAGAGAGAGTGTGGAGGAGGGAGGAGGGGGTTGTGGAAGGTGCAGGTCCATGGAGTGTCTCGAGAATGGCGAGTCGGGTGAGCTTCTAGTTGATCGCACGAATGGACTGGGGGGCGTCTGAGTGACGTGCTCTCGGTGGGACGTGGTGGCCGTCAATCACCTGCGCTCGTTACTCTGTTCGTTGCTCACATTTCGCCTCACTGCGGAGTTGATGGGGTCTCCATGGGTCGTGCGAGGAGGGCTGCAGGAGTGACAGTTCAGTGGGCGGTTGCATCTCCGCGTGTTTCCTGTGTCTCCCCCCCCCCCCACCATGTCCACTTATCACCACGTGTCTCCGCGCGTCTTCCGGCGTCTTCCCATGTCTCCAAATGTCTCCAAATGTCTCCCCATGTCTCTCCTTCTCTATCCACGTCTCCACGTATCTTCCAGCGTCTCTCCGTGTTTTCCTGCGTCTCCCCGTGTCTCGGTGCACATCGCCACATCTCCCTGCACCACACCACATCTCCCACGTGTGTCCTCACTCCTCCCCGTCTCCCCCCGCGCGTCTCGCTGCGTTTCTCTGTTTATCCGCCCGTGTCTCCGCGCATCTCTCCACTTCTCCCCGTGCCTCCGCGTGTTTTTAACATGGACGTGGTTTTTATCCAGCTGCATAAACTAATGGGGTTTGGGGTTGGGGGGTGGCTAGGGTTATGGTTGGGGTCACGGTGATTCCCACGCCGCCACCGTCGCCGCCGCGGTCTCGCGCGTTTGGGTATTTTCCAGGGCGATCCTCGAGGAGAATGATTCGTAATCATGGACCCGGCGTCACCGGCGCCGATCGTTCAGCAGCGTAGTCCTGCGGGAGGCTCTCGGAGCAAGACACGGGGGTGCGTTTGAGACGACGCGGCTCGTTGGATGGACGATATATCCGAGGGGGTGATTGAAAAGCACGTTGTGACCCCCTGTGAGCTGGGGCGAGGATTATAACCCCCTCCCCTCGGCCACAGCTCTTCCACGCACTTCAACTAAGGTCCCTACCGCCTCGGCTACAGCTCCCGTCCCTTCCTCTCGGCTAGAGCTTCACGCGGATAAACTAGACGTCCTCCCGTCCTACCCCGTGACCCACAGCTCCTCCGCATGGAGAGACGAAGCCTCCTCTCCTGTCGGCCGTAACTCGTGTCTATCGCCCGTTGTCCTATTTTGCCGGCTACAGCTCCGCGGCGAGAGCCGTTGGTCGTCGTCACCAAAGAAAGCGAGAGAGGCGAGGTGGTGGTGGTGGTGGAGCTCCGGCCGTGCGTCGCGAGCCGCCCCGCAGTGGCGCTAATCGCGCCGTGGCTTTCATCGTCATTGCCGGCTCGCGACCGCTTTGTCCGCATCCGAACAACCAGTTGCGTGCGCGAGGACATTCTTGCACGGCACGTTCGGGATCGTAACGGCCGATCGCAGCTCGTCAATCGTGTGCCGCGTGTAGCGTGCGACCCGCTCGAAACCGCCGGGCAGATCGACCGCTGCGTGAAAGTCGAGTCTGTCCTGAACAGTCGGTTGCCTGCAACCGACTGTTCAACTGGGTTGAAACTGGTTGTGGAGACGTTCACGTGGACAGGTTGGGGGTCCCACCACAGGCGAGCGGTCACAGCCGTGTGGCTGAGCGAACCACGTGTCGGAGTTGTGTTTGTGTAACCAGGCGAGAACTCGAGAGACCGAGGATCGAGGCTCATTCGAGTCCACGTCTCTGCTGTGAGCAACCTGTTTGCGAAGACGACCACGTGGAAGGGATGCAGTTGCATGCGACGGGTTTGTGTGGACTGGGCTGTAACCCCCCCCTTCCCCGTGCACACTGCAATAATAACAATGACAGCGGTGTTGTTTTAATGATTATGGCCTAGCCCGAAATGAAGTCAGTCTATATTATATTATATGTGTGTACGTGTGTGTGTGTGTCACTCTATGATAAAGGTCTCATACGTGTCTATCCATCCAACCTGCCGATGCCGCACGTATGTGTGTGTGTGTCTCCGCGTTTAATGTGTGATTGTGTTGTGCGAACTATTGTGCTTCATGGTGTAACGTCGTGAGGATAGTGTGTAAGGTGTGGTGCGAGGGTGGATGTGAGGTTTAATGTGTGTGTGAGTAGGGGTGTATGTTGAGGCTGAGTGAAATGGTACAAGAGGTTGTTGAGCTGAGTGAACTTGCCAATGACTGGTACCAGCTGTGTCAAGATCGGCCTTTGTGGAGGAGGCTCGTGAAGGACGCTTCTGGGCAGTTGGAGGCAGTCGCCTTCCAACAACAACGGAGGGCAGAGGAGCGACGCTCACAACAACGAGCGGAGCGCCGGGTGGCTAAACGCAGCAAGTGAGCACAGTAGGGGGCACAGGTGGTACATTAGCCAGTCATCTCAGTCATCTCAGCCGGTCAACCCATGGCACCTCGGTCTGTCCCGTGACCTGCCAGCGGGCGTCCGACACTTCACATGGCCTCAACGTGCACATAGCCTGGCACAAGCACCGTGGTGACGTCACCGCCACTTAGTGGGGAATGGTGGTTGTTGTTGAGGCTGACGTGAGTGAGTAGGGGGTGTGCAAGCCTGCTTGTGTGTGTAGTTAGATTAGTGGGGGGCTGGTAACCCCTCAACCTTCGCACACCTCTTTTTCTAAACCAAGTTCCATGGTGGAAATAACCAACTAACTCAGCTTGCGCTAGAGGCTCACCGGGGGTACAGTTGTGTTCATGACCGTTTGCTGGCCTACCACAATTTGCAGATCCAGACTGTACCACTCTACTCATTGGTTCTTTCGGTAAAGTCACGGATGTAGAAATAAAATATAATTTAAATATGAAATAAATCACGACGTTTCGAAAGAAACACAAGCGCTCATCATCAGGTGAAAATGGGGCAAAACACAGCGATGGAGCACACAGAGGGACATCTCACACACAGCACACAGAACGGCAAACTGCACGGAGGCAAATACAGCAAGAAGATGGAGAGACACGAACTCAACAAACCTTAGAAACAATGCGATGCAAACCAGTTGGCCAACAGCACAGTTAGACACTAACTTGGTTAACCACGTATATCAAAAGACTGCTAAATTTTGTGTTCATCTTCTGGGCTGAACACACCAACGTAAACGGATGGACAAGGACTCGTGAACAGACACGAGGTACAAGATAGCAGAGATACACAGAGAAGACACGGCGAAAGATGTTTTGGGCAGCACAGAGGAACAACCAGAACACCACAACAAGAGACGGATACGCATGGAGAGGCACATAGAAAGACGTCCGGAAGGATAACGTACAGGGACTTATTTCGGCTGTAGAGGCGGGGGAAGGGGCGGAGAGAAGGACCAATGCAGGTGTAGTAAGTTGATGAGGAGACGATGAGGAAGTTGAGACACACTGTTTATTAACTCCGGGACAGATACAATAGTTGAAGGGGTATCGGCCCCTTCACCCGTACTATGGGCAACCCACCCTAGTACTAAGCCCTCTGTCCTGTCCCCCAGTCCTCCTCTACTGGGCTACGGGAGGCTGACTGATCTGGCCCTGGCAAGCACAGATCTCGGCACCAGCTAACCAGCCTTGCCCTGATAAGGGCAGCGGTCTGGAAGCTCTTGGGCCGCGCCACTGGCTTACCCGGCTCGGCCCTTATAAGGACGGCGAGACCGGGGAGTCCCAGGGCCTAATCTCCGAGTCTTGGATCTTCACTGGTCAGCTTCGTGTCGAACTGCCTCGAGCTCTTTGGGTTCCACCTTTTATAGGGATCGCCTCCGAGGGCTGGGGGCGTGGGCAATAACTGATGCGGACGTCGGTGTGACCCCCCGTGTATGTGAGTGCCGACAGCCCTGTGTTTGTTGTCCGCCGTTTCTCCCGTAATAACCCCTACACAGGTGTAAAGGGGGAGCCGACACCAGATTGCAGGGGTCTCGTCCTTTATTCCTTTTCTTCCATCCACACCTGTCCCCAGCCGTCCCAATATTGTTCCCGCCAAAGGCCCCCTCTTCCCGCCCGTTCTCTCCTTATATCTCCTCGATCACCCCTCCCACTAACCCACCTATTGGTGGGAATCCTTCCCCAGACACCCCTACATCACCCCCCCCCCCCCCCCCCCGGAGAAAAAATAACCGTCCTCGGTTCTGCCTCCCCCATGGACCATTTAAGTCTCCCCATGCCTCCCACCACTGACAGTGACAACAACCCTTACCCCCCCCCCCCCCACAACCATGCAATGCAATATAACACAACGAAATCAATTGCACGGCCTGCCCAGGTCTCCAGCCAGCATCCCGTAACAGCCCGGACATCCACAGGCAGCAGATGACCGTGGCGGCCCCCTCCTTCAAAGGCCCTCTCGTCGCGGTCCCTGGTTCGGTGGTGCCGGTGTCGCCTTGCCTGGCGCCGCT